TGAGCTATCTGTGCCGTGTCCAAGCTACACATGAGCTATCTGTGCCGTGTCCAAGCTACACAATGAGCTATCTGTGCTGTGTCCAAGCTACACAATGAGCTATCTGTGCTGTGTCCAAGCTACACAATGAGCTATCTGTGCTGTGTCCAAGCTACACAATGAGCTATCTGTGCTGTGTCCAAGCTACACAATGAGCTATCTGTGCTGTGTCCAAGCTACACAATGAGCTATCTGTGCTGTGTCCAAGCTACACAATGAGCTGTGTCCACCACCGGTATTAAAACTCGGGTTTTAGCATTATAAGCCTTCAAACTTACCACCGAGCCACTGAAATGAATCTTGGAAATAATTTACCATATCTGTATGCAAGCATTTTGTTTGTCCAACCCTGTATATATATATATAAACTGTGACACAAATTAGTTCCAATACCTATCACTAGGGCATACATTCATTTGAAGTTCATGTAGTTTACAGTGACAAAGCTCCTAAATCAGTTCATAATAAATGCTAAATACAATGGGCATTTTGAGAGCTAATTACAACATATACACATATAAAACAAAAATTATGAAAGTATAATTTAGAATCAGATGAACAAAATACAAAATGGTTTTGTAGATGCAACAGTTTTTTAATCCTCTAACTTATTTTACAGTAAAAAATTCTTTTCGTTGTTGATGTGTGTAATGAATTAAAATTCTCCATAATTACACTTGTGTAACAAATCAAAACCTAGAACTTCTAATAACTTTACTAGTGTGTAATAATTCACAAATATTAACAATTGTGATGCCAAACTTTCGATAATTGTACTGATGTGTGCGTAATGACTCGAAAATTCCAAAAATTATATTCGTATGTTGCGATTTATAACTTCTATCATTTGTACTAATATGTTTAATGACTCAAAAATCCTGATAATTATACTAGTGTGTGGTGATTTATAACTTATATTAACTGTACTAGTATGTGCAATAATTTAAAACTTTTAGTAGCTGTATGTGCAAAACGAAATTAAAACTCTGAGGGTGCTGCTACAAATTCTTACATAAAATTAGAAAAATAAATACTGATAAAAGCTGTCTAAAATTAACTGCACATACATACATACATTTCAACCTCTTGTAAATATATACTTTATTTCAAGTGCCAAGTAATAAAAATCTTTTATGCTGTTCTTTAGAGAAATTAAGTGCAACAAAATTTATTTAAGTCCACTTTAATCAGACGTATATATATTTTTCAATAATTATGACAAGTACTTAAGGGGAATACACAAACAATCTGTTCCAGCCACATAAAGTTAAGATTTACAACACGTGAGAATGTGAAGGAAGCATGTTAGCTTTGTTAAAACTCACTGCATTCTACATAATTTAAATAAATATTTTATTATGACATATTACTTCAGGAAATGTGACAATAAATATTTCTAACTTTAAAGCAATAACATGGACTTAGTGTATAACAGGCAAAGTGAAAAAACACTTCAGATAATATCAGAATTAAAATATTTGATGTCTCAAATAAGTAACACAAACTTCAAATCAACAATTCAGGCTAGAAAAGTAGGCCTTCAAGTCATTCCAAGATAAGTTTAATAACAATTAATTATAACTTTTAAACTTTCTAACAGATAACAGTGTATGAGCAATTGTTGTTACTTTACAGAATTTAATTCCAGTTTACTATGTTTTCGTAATCACAGACTAAGTGCTTCATTTCAACAAAAGTTTCAGGTTTTCAATCATTTGTAGCAGTTATCAAAGAACCAAAGTGAATTAATTAACAGAATTATACCTTACCATAACTTCAAAATCTCAAGTAAGTCTTCCTAATACTTAATTAGCCCCTTGTAATTTTAATACTTATGCTTACATAAGCAACATATATTTTATTCAAATTATCATGAATAATGTAACTTTAATGACTTAAGTAAATTTGCAAGACACATTTGAGATTTTCACAAAATTCTTTAGACACGGAGCTACAAACTAAGAAATTATCTATAAACTATGTGTTTAATTTCTGGGAAAAACAACGAAAATATTTACAATAGATAAAAAGTAACGAAACAACTTGTATATAGTAACTTTTTATGTCCCACTTTAAATATTTAAATTTTCTTCCTTTTTCCATTAATCACAGCCTAAAAACTTGAATATTTACAAAAATGTCTTAAAACATTTCCTTTTAATAACCCTGAATAGATTCAATATTGTTCACTGTGAATTCATTAACAGTTTTACGTAGCACAATTAATTATTATCAACACTTTTACTAATATCTTTGACACAGACTCCTAGAAATGATAACTGTTAATGACTGGCAAATACAAGTACTGATATTAATATCCTTACTTGTTAATGGAATAAAGTGATCTAAGAACAACTGTTTAATTATTGGACCTCAAAATTAGAAGGCACAAAATATACCTCACACAACATTTATCTTTACACACATATAAATAAGATTAAAAAACTCACTTTAGCTAATAAAACATATTACGTTATATAATTCTCACAAAAGATTTAAAGTTCATCAGTTGAAATTAATTACAACATATAATCCAGTCACATAAATCTTAGTTTGTCTTCAAGGTTTTAGCAGTAAAAGACTTGTGGTCTTACTACAGTCTTATCTATTCGACTATTTTGAGAATGTTATCATCCAAAGCCCTTATAACATGAAAGTACCATACCTACACACAAAATAAAAGCAAAAACAAAGTTAAAGTCTTCAAGCTGACATCTCATGTCTACTCCAAGGTTCTTAAAATTACTATTACCACAGACAACGGATCACTAGACGGCTACTCGTTAGACGGAAACCAAGTTCATACAACAGAGTAGGGCACTAAACTATGAAAAACGAAAGGGCTGATGAATTTACATCCTAGCTATTTGTGAAGTATATTACATACTGTAGTGGAATAATGAACATCCAGTGGTCCTAAGCTAAAAATGTTTCTAACTCACTAAATGTCCTGTGTTAAACACAACTGTTGGTGATTTTACTCCAAATGACAGGGTGATTGGAATGGCACGTAACAGGAAGAACTATATAAAATATTACACATACAAACAAAAAAACAAGTCTTGTTGACATGAGAAGCTTTTCATCAGAAAATACAATGATGTTTCCCAGGACCCCAAGACATTGTTTGGTATTTATAGTTGTACAATAATATTTGAAAAAAATATTGTACTCAAATTATATTATTTAATCATAAATATGTCTGTTATAGTCTCTGAAAGTATTTACATGATATTAAATCAAGATGGTTTCTCACACTACTTTTAGTTAACACTCGAATGAGAATCAGATTCTGCCTCACAGGATTCCATTGGTTAAATACTGAAAGCCATCATACAGTTTTGTTGTCAGTGAATGCATACTGGACTCTACCATGCTATCAATGAGAAGTTGAAGGTGGTCATCTGTTAAACCAATGTGAAATCGTTCCTTTAGTGCTTTCACTGCACTGGCTCCATTTCTGAAGCAAGGCAGCTGAGCATTAGCCTGCATGATTTCAACCAAAGCCAGAATCTTGTCGTGGTGTTTACGAGCAGCAAGAAATCCCTGGAGCATGAGGATCTTGAAATATTCGAACATGTCACTTCCCAATCCTCCCATAACCTGACAGGAAAAAAAAGGAATTCAAATATCCAGACCAGTTGAAAGCTGTAGTTTCAAGTTATAATATTAAGTCAGTCTAGTTTATGATAGAAAATGTAATTCGGTGGTGTTTTATATATCTTTAAGTACAGAAAACAACTTGATTTTGTGTAAATCTATTTATATTATTTCTATGTTAGATAATATGAAGCTGTGTATGAAAACAAAAAATCCTAATAAAATCAAATATTTATAAGCTAACAAAACTGCCTTAATTTGTAAACTATCCTCAAACTAAGAAAACAGAAATATCATTTTGCTTATGGTCAATGTAGATTATTCACAAAAAGCATTATTTGATACATATATATATATATAAGTAATTCTTTTACTGTTATTTATGGTATTTTTAATTTTGAAATTAGTTTTACCTAGAGAAATTGGTTGAAATAAGACAAACAAAAATTATTTACAAGTTACATCAAGTATGTACAATAAGCAGATTTCACAGGTATTAACTACCTTATAACTTCTTCACATTCAGTAAATTCTACAATACTAGTATGAAAGCCCGTCAAAAAGGATGGGAACCATTGTTGAATGATTAACGAAAATTATAGAATTTGTCTGTACCTCCAAAATTCACCTACTCTTCACTTATTTCATCTGTCTCGAAGTAATTCTTTAATCACTACATTGTCATTAAAAACCATTTAGAAAAATGAAATGTTATCGCGAACAAAACTACATATTCACTATGAAAGAGTTAAATAGCACTCATGAGCCTTTTCATTGTATTCTAGGTCAGGAAGTAGAAAACATACTGCGGTCATTCAGACACAAATTTTCAACTCATTTGACTGTAGAAAGGATAAAAGATGTTTATTTTTCTTTATGTTTTAAGGCCAACTAGATAATATATGTGTTAAAATACCAAAAGAATATTTATTGATTAGCATTTATTCAACACTTAAAACTTTCTAAACACTGCCTATAAGGTTAGTAATAGTAGACCTATATGTAGTCTAATTTAATACATAAACATAGTGTAAGGCTTAGCTGAAACACTACTTTGTAAATTTTATTTTGCTTTTGGTTACACAACTCAATGTCATAAAAATTCTGAGTTAAACTATTTTACTGTTACATCACCAAAGTTATAAAAAAAAATTATAGAATAAAAAACAAATCTTTCTAACAAATTAACACGAATATTGAGCATTCAACATAAACACCATAGTTGGCCTAAGAACAATTGGGTAGTAGTTTTGTTGCTAAGCAATGATGTATATTGTTGAGCATTACCAAAAAAAGGATTGTTAAAGTGTTCTTGACAAAGGGAATAAACCTTTTATAGTTAGTGATGACAATCAGTAAACTCTTATAATATTCCTCATATGTCAGTAATCATATTGGTGTATGTAAAAGTATAGGTACTATTCTGAATTTATACAAGGATTTCAGCAAAAAAATATTTTATAAAACTAAAAAAGACAAATATTTATTCCACAACTAAAGTTTGGTTATAAATAAATCATTGAAAGACTAGAAATAAAACAAACAATTACATTCACAAACTCTTGTGTGAGTTTGAAAGGAGAATTCTCAAAGCCTAGGTTTTTTGGAGAGGAAGACAAAATGAAGCCAAAGTCTATATGAATGATGTGACCCTCTGCATCCAGTAAGATATTTCCATTGTGTCTGAAATACGATAAAAACTAAAACATCATAACCAATCTCTAAAATCTATGACATACAATGCATTTCGAGATTACAGTACAATATCAAAATGTTTGACAAAATTTGACATGACCTGTAAAAAACATTTGTCACCTGAACCAGGTGTAATTAATACAGCATTTCTTAAATTCTGGCTTTGTATACCTATCCTTCCCCTCAATCAACCATAATGAGTTTCTAGACCATATTTCTACACACTTTTATGCCGCTTTCATGAGTTACAGCTGCTTAACCAGTTATTAAACCCAAGTTTCATACTTTTTTTTTCAAGCTAAAGACAGGACTTTCAAGAATAAAAGGTTTAAGGTTCAAGGACAATCTTGGAGTATTTTAACAAGTTATTAAGGTCAAAAATAAATCTGTATTTTTACTAAGGAAGTGATATGACAACTAGTCATAATTCATCCTGAATTGAAACATTACTTTCTGGTTCACTCTGATGATCACTGGTTTCATGCTTTGTATAATATTTTAGTATTTTGATCTCCTGGGTTTGAAAGGAAGTCTCTAAAAGAAGACATTTTGAAAGAAATATATATATATA